AATCATACATCATGACTAAGTGGGATTTATACCGGGGATGCAAGGATGGTACAATTTCTGCAAATCAATAAATGTGACACATCACATTTACAAATTGAGAGAAAAAAATCACATAATCTTATCAATTAATGCAGAAAAAGCATTTGACAAAAATCCAACACACTTTCTTGATAAAAACTCTCAGCAAAGTGGGAATAGAAGGGTCATACCTCAAAATAATAAAAGCCTTATATGACAAACATACAGACAACATCATACTCAACGGGCAAAAAGTAAAACCATTTCCCCTAAGAACAGGAACAAGACAGGGATGCCCACTTTCACCACTCCTGTTTGACAGAGTACTGGAAGTGCTAGCCATAGTGACCAGACAAGAAGAAGAAATAAAAGGCATCGCTTCTATAAAAAAAAGAAGGAACTTTTACCATTTGCAACAGCATGGATGGAACTGGAGAGCATTATGCTAAGCGAAATAAGCCAGTCGAAGAAAGATAAATATCACATCTCTCTCATATGTGGGATATAATGAACAACCAAAACTGATGAACAAAAATAGATCCAGGTACCACTGAACAGACCATCCAATCTCAGAGAGAAGGCAGGGTGGCGGTGGGGTAGGGGAGGGAAGGGAGGTTAGAGATAAACCAAAGGACTTGTATGCATGCATATTAGCATGACCAATGGACACAGACACTGGGGTGGTGGGGGCTCAAAAGGGATAGAGGAAGACACAAACAAATGGAAGAACATACTACGTTCATGGATTGGTAGAATCAACATCATTAAAATGTCCATACTACACAAAGCAATCTAGAGATTCAATGCTTTCCCCATTAAAATACCAACGGCATATTTCACAGACCTAATTCTCATCTTTGATGTTTCTATTCCTCTCTCTCCCTTCCTCTCTCTGAAATCGATAAAAAATAAATAAAAACATATAAAAGTTTCTCCTGTTAACCTCTGAAAAGAGGATTTGCTAATCTGACCTTTTGCATCCCCCAAATATCTCTTAAAACCATGTGCAAACTGTGCAAACCATCTCCATTTTATACATAAATGTGTTTTATGTATAAGATGTATTTTTCTTATCTTTAACCTTTTCTATGTCTTAGTCTACACTTCTTATTTCCTCTTTGACAGCTACAGCTATTGACTGAAAAGAACTTTCTTGTAACTGGTAAAGTGTCAGTTAAATACATAGGGCCTTTTTCCCTCTGCATACAACCTCTCCTCCATTTTGTAAAGTCTAGTCTCCAGAAATTTATCCTTGCTCAAAAATAGCATGACATGGTGGAGAGCCCTGAGTAGACTGAGGTCATTTAGGTGCCTGACCAACAACAGAGCAAGCACCAAGAGACTTGCATAGCTGGTTTTAATGAATACCTTAAAAATACATCTGCAGAGTTCATATTCTAAAACCTTTCATGTCAAACAATTAGCTTTACTAACTACAGAAGAAAATGCAAGCTGAGACCACTACAAATTTCCATTACTTCATATCTTTCTCTCCCCTACCTTTAGCCTCACCAGTGTAAAGATTTTTGATGCTAGCAAGTCAATTAAAATCAGCATTCCCAAGAAAGTTATATCCATTTTCATGACTAAAATAGTGGTAATTACTACAATACACCTATGGTAATGAAAAAAATATTTTCTGGAAATTGCAAAGAAACTGTAGATTAAGATTTAAATTAAAAATCTACAGAGGGGAGAGAGACCAAGATGGCGGCATAGGTAAACACCGCAGACTGCTGCCGCAAACAACCACTTCAAAAATACAACTAAAAGACGGAACGGACATCACCCAGAACCGCAGGAAGGCTGGCTGAGGAGAGACTCTTCAACTAGAAGGAAAAATAACAGCACACCGAGGCTCAGAGGAGGCGCAGTGTGGAAAATACTCAGGTGCGGAGGTGCGCGCGCAAAGCGGGCTGGTGGCTGAGAGCGCGGTTGTCGTTTTCGGTCAGGGGGGAGTCTCAGACTCTGAGCTCCAGATACGGGCGAATCGCTGGGGACTCGGACCCAAACGGGAGAAGCGGGAGTGTCTGGCATCAGTTGGAAGGCAGCTTTCCCTCCGAGGTTTGCAGCGGTTCCGGGGGTTCTGAGAAGCAGAGCCTCTGGGAACGGGACTGAGAGGGGCCATAACCGCTCCCTCCGCCCGCCCGCCCTGTTGAGCCCGCCCCGCCCAAGCCCTGCGCAGAGCCATTTGCCAGATCGCCTCAGGCAAAGGCTAGATTAGCACCTCCCCAGAGGACAGAAGTTTTCCGCGGCAGACACAGCTGATTCACACAGCCAGTCGGCCTGGTGGTCAAATCCCTCTAGTATTAACTACAACAATCAAGGCTCAACTAGAACAAGACTGCGCACAAAGACCACTAGGGGGTGCACCAAGAAAGCATAAAAAATGCGGAGACAAAAAAACATGACAGAAATGGAGGATATAGAGCTAAAAAACGCAATTTTGAGGGCTTGCAATAAACTTCTGGAGAGCCTCACGAAAACTAATGAGACCCTCGATGCTATGATAAAGAAACTAGAAATTAAGCATACACGCTCTGAAATAAAGAATATTACACCCAATAGCAGACCAGAGGAGCGCAAGAATCAAGCCAAAGATTTGAAATGCGAAGAAGCAAAAAACACCCAACCGGAAAAGCAAAATGAAAAAAGAATCCGAAAATACGAAGATAGTGTAAGGAGCCTCTGGGACAGCTTCAAGCGTACCAACATCAGAATAATAGGGGTGCCAGAAGATGAGAGACAGCAAGATATTGAAAACCTATTTGAAGAAATAATGGCAGAAAACTTCCCCCACCTGGTGAAAGAAATGGACTTACAGGTCCAAGAAGCGCAGAGAACCCCAAACAAAAGGAATCCAAAGAGGACCACACCAAGACACATCATAATTAAAATGCCAAGAGCAAAAGACAAAGAGAGAATCTTAAAAGCAGCAAGAGAAAGAAACTCAGTTACCTACAAGGGAATACCCATACGACTGTCAGCTGATTTCTCAACAGAAACTTTGCAGGCCAGAAGGGAATGGCAAGAAATATTCAAAGTGCTGAATACCAAGAACCTACAACCAAGAATACTTTATCCAGCAAAGCTATCATTCAGAATTGAAGGTCAGATAAAGAGCTTCACAGATAAGGAAAAGCTAAAGGAGTTCATCACCACTAAACCAGTATTATACGAAATGCTGAAAGGTATCCTTTAAGAAGAGGAAGAAGAAAAAGGTAAAGATACAAATTGTGAACAACAAACATGCATCTATCAACAAGTGAATCTAAGAATCAAGTGAATAAATAATCTGATGTACAGAATGAACTGGTGATTATAATGAATCAGGGACATAGAAAGGGAATGGACTGACTATTCTTGGGGGGGAAAGGGGAATGGGAGATGCGGGAAGAAACTGGACAAAAATCGTGCACCTATGGATGAGGACAGTGGGTGGGGAGTGAGGGCGGAGGGTGGGGCGGGAACTGGGAGGAGGGGAGTTATGAGGGGGAAAAAAAGAGGAACAAATGTAACCTGAACAAAAAAGATTTAATTAAAAAAAAAAAAAAAATAATAATAATAAATAAAGTGACAGCCTGCGCCAGGAAGGGTAGTATAACCTTTGAGGGTTATTTTTTAACTCATTGGTTTATTTTTAGAAAGGAATATGGTTTATAATTTGTTATTAGCAGGCATCAAAGAAAAATAAGAAGGGACTTCCAAAGTAGCATGACTATAAAAGGGAAACTAGATCTTTTCTGTGATGAATGTGAACAGTCTGGGGAAGAGAGAAGGAAAAGGACTAACGGGCCACCTGTTCCTCGGCCAGTGCTTCATTGGCAACGGAGAGAAAATAACCAGGCACTGAGGCCAAGACATCCCAAGAGGGAACATGGCTGCCAGAAAGTGGTTTGATTTCAAATTAAGAACTGTATGGTTTAAGAAAGCAAAGTGAAGGGTAAGTGAGGAAGTAATGGACTATGTTAGTAATGGATTATACCTTAAACATTTATCTCTGTACTTTTTTGCCTAAACTATCATCTCTGAATAGTGGTGGTTTAACATTATTTGAGCTCAAACACTTAAAAGCAAACTTATTTTTTATAAAAAATAAAAATACTGTACATAGAAAAATAATAATTACATCATGGAGGCACAAGAACACTACCATTTAGAAATCCTAGAGAATGGTTTCCTTTTGTAAGTAAGAGCAGTAGCAGTGACTGTCACCTGCCCATATATCTAGGTAGCAGAATAATCTCTTTACAAAATAATATTAACTTCTTGAATATAGAATCTAAAAGGGACAACATGAAGTGATGTCTAATGAATTGCCAAGACATATTTTGGTTTTTGCCTGGGTTGAATGATGATGTCCTGGTCTAAGGTTTTCCTTCATTTACATTTATATCCCCAAAGTAGTTAAATCTGACAACATAATTGTAATAAGCTAGCCTAAAGTTTCAAATATGTTTACTTGACTGAAATGAGAATTCTACAAAGTAATTTGAGGGTCGATTTGTAAAGCAGTTCATTGGAACATTAAACAACTACCTAATTTAATTACTATCAAAACTCAATGAACAGGAATGTGAAATGGATGATTTGAAAATTTCACCCATATTGCAACTAAATTGAATAGGCCATGTGGCCCACAGTGATTGGCCATTAAGACAGGCAAGAAAATAATAACTACTGAGCTTATCTGTGAAGACACTAATATCAAATTATGAAGGCTTCCACTAGTTACCAAAAATATACATATATATCTTCGGATTTTTTCTTTCTTCAATATTACTTATCCCATACCACAAAACTTCCAAATCACAAGTCAGGCTGAACTGTTTTAGATCCAAATTAAGGCTAAATTTTAGCCTGCCCACTAATTTTTGACTGTCCTTTCCAAAAGTAAACTCAAGACCAAATACAAGGAAAAGAAAACTACTTACACTGAAGTCCTGCAGTGCCAGGAATTTGCATTTATAGCATTAATTTAATCTTTGCAACCATCCAGCATGGAAAGTGTTGTTATCCCCATTGTCTAGAAAAGGAACTTCCGGCTCAGAGAAGTTAAGGAATCAGTCAATGATATTCAATTATTAAGTTGCAGAAGCCAGAGTCTCCCCCAACCACTCCCCTTCTCAAGTAATTTTAAATTTTACTTTTAAAAATAAAAACACCTTTTTTTTACAACGTGATTATAAAAATTCAAATAAAAAAAAGGAACCATAACCGTACAGGAATTCTGGCAGCTTGCTCCTTCCTTGTAAGGAAGTATCCGTGACTGTTAAATTATTTTAATTTTTATGGAGATGAAGTCAAATCTGCTTACTAAGTCTATGTAGAATAAATAAAATTTTTCTTCTAGGTTGAAACTTTTCCCATATTGTTTTTGAAAAGCAATTTTCATGCCCCAACTTAGAATTTTTTTTCTTTAGGGTTACTATGCAAATTTCCAACTTCTCACACAGGATCAGATTTTGCAGCTCAATTATTTTCCTGGAGAATATCCTGGAATTGAATATTTCAGATACAGATTGATCAGCTAAAGAATATTTAACTCTCTTCATTTGGACACTTCATTTTAAAGCACTTTCTTGAGCATATTACCTTTATGACTAAAATCTAAGTTTACATTTACTTTCTAGATGTTATCTATGTTAAATTTTTTGCTCCTAATGCATTTACAGCAATTGAAATTCCAAAGTAATTTTTCCAGGTCTTCTCCTCTATGTATTTAAATACGTTGTCTCAATCTAATTATATATCCTCTACATTAATTCCTTACATGTTCCCTATTATTTGCCTATAATCCAAACCTAACAAAAATTTTGAGTCAGTTCCATTATCCAATATATTATTTATCCCTTCCATGTTATTTCACTTCCAATTGAATCCATTCACCACCTGTATCTTCAAGTCACTAATAAAAATGTCAAGTAGTTTAGAACAAAGGTCAAGTCCTAAAATTTGTTGTTCAAAACATCCCTCCAACTCAATATCAATCCATTTATCAACTGGTTTTGTGTACCATGCAAAGCTGAAATAGATAAAAATCATTCAACAATACTTGGAATTAGCTTAAAATCCCCCATACTTTAAACAATGATTGTGGAATAAATGTTATGAAATTTTTTACTGATTGTATTCAAGAGGATACATGGGTAATCACTTTTATGTTCATAGTTAGGCATTTTGTTACAGGGCATATTAGAAAAGATATCAACAGGTACATTACAAACCTGTGACTTTTTAAATATTTTCATTTAGGATAAGGCTAAGTTTAAATTAATAAATGAGTTGACTTAGCTCACCTGCTGGGGCACAATAGTTGAGCATTGACCCACGAACCAGGAGGTTATGGTTCAATTCCTGTCAGGGCACATGCCAGGATTACAGGCTCAATCCCCAGTAGGGGGTGTGCAGAAAGCAGCTGATCAATGATTCTCTTTCATCAATGATGTTTCTATCTCTCTCTCCCTCTCCCTTCCTCTCTCTGAAATCAATAAAAACATTTTTTTTTAAAAATGAGTTGACTTAAAGAAAAATTTAGCTATATAAAAGTAGGGATGGCATATGAATATGGAGAAAAAAAGGAGGTGTAAAGCAAACTACTGAAATAGGAAACCCTGGCACTGAGTTTTATAGTTCTCAACACACAAAAACATCTGATCCACATAAAACCACAACAGAGTCCATTAGAGACATCAATAAGTGCCTTACAGGATACACAGCCACCGTTCTCAGTCAATACTTTTAAAGAAATATAGGAAAAGAGTTTCACACAATTTTACTGTTCTAAAGCAAACATTTACAGGTTTATAGGAATCAACTAAGAAGGGTTATAATACAACAATAGAAATGTACTTTTCAGTTTTTTACCTAAAGTGCTCATAAGCCATCTGTCTAATAATCTGATCTACATATAATTATGTATAACCTAAAGCTTTTGAGCCTATGATTTTTAGATACACTTTTACACCCATTATGAAAATTGGGACATTGGCTCTCTCTAGTCTTTTGACACTTCTACTACCCCAAATTCCTCCAAGATACTTGGCAATAGCTCCAAAATCACAGTTAGATTTTTTTGGTATTTCATTTGCCCCTAATGACTTGAATTAATATAAACCATCTGCATGCTATCGTCATCCAGTCAATAAACATTCTGAATATTTACTAAGGGCTGAGAAATATGTTTAAAATTGTATCCCCTCGGGCTCTGGCTGGTGTGCTCCATCGTTAGAGTGCTGGCTCACACACTGAAGGGTCATGGGTTCAATTCCCAATTAAGGGCACATACCTGGGTTGCAGGTTCAATCCCCAGCTCAGGTCAGGATACATGCAGGAGGCAACCAATCCATGTGTCCCTCTCACATTTATGTTTCTCTCTCCTCAATCTCTCTTTCTGTCTCTGTCTCTTCCCCCTCCCTCCCTTCCACTCTCTCTAAAAATCAATAGAAAAAATAATCCTCGGGTAAGGATTAACAACAACAACAAAATATTTTTCCCTGGAAAACTCAGAGTTTAGCAGGAAAGAAAGATATATAACTATATTTTTTTACAACATGACAAGTGCTACAATAGAAATATGTACAGAATACCATATGGATTTAGAGGAAAAACTAACCACCTTGGTATGGCTTTGAAAAGGTGGAGTTACGTGAGTTAGATCTTAAAGACTTCTCATGAATTCCCCAGGCAAAGAGGGGCATTCACACAAAATTATTAGTAAGTACAATATTCAGGAAACACTAAGAATTTTGGCAAAGTTGGAGCTCAAAAAGCATGAAAGAAGTAGATAAAGCCTGGTTGGAGTGGCTCAGTGGTTGAGCATCAACCTATGAACCAGGAGGTCATGGGTCAATTCCAGTCAAGGGCACATGCCCGGGTTTTGGGCTCGATGCCAGTTTGGGGCCTACAGGAGGCAGCCGATCAACGATTCTCTCTTATCATTGATGTACCTGTCTCTTTCCCTCTCCCTTATTCTCTGAAATCAATAAAAATATATTTAAATAAATAATAATAGACAGAAATGAAATGAAAGAAAAAATTTTTTACAATCAATGTAAAACACTTAGTACAGTGCAGTGTCTTGAATATTTTAACTGTTCAATAAATAAGAGCTATCATTACTTAGCATGACTTAGTGGGCCCGACATTCCCTCATTCCCTTTCATTGGTTTTGCAACTCCAAAAATGACATGATCACCATTATTCATGGTCTTTAACACTTCCACACCTACAAGCAGCAATCTCTCATTGATCAGATTAAGTTCAGACTAGAGGTTTACTTTGAGCAAGGTGTGTCTTTATGTCATTTCATTACTCAATTCTATTTCTAAACCCCATTCCATCCTGATTTCAAGATAATTACATCCTTGCCTTAACATGCCAAGTTCACTTTCTTCGTTACTTATGCTCTGCATTGGTATGAATACATTTAAGGCCAAAAGTGTTGTTAATGACCCTCTTCCTTATTTTCTTCAGTAAAAAATGCATCTTTTCCACTATTGACTTGTCAGTATTAGACCTGCTATCCTGTAAATAATTTGGATTAAAGTGTTTTATAAACATTATCTCTATCTCTAAAATATTTTTAAATCTGATTTGCAAACTCTGAAAAACTATTTAAGTTTCCTTCCAGATTTTGTAAAATATATTCCAACTTTTCCCAGGTGCCCAATTAATTTGGAAAACCCATTTTTATCTCAGAGTATTTATATAATCAGTTAACTATTCACTTGCAATATCTCCTCTTTTTTTCACCATTGGAGTTCTCCAGGATTCCAAAGTCACTTTTCAACCATTCTGTTTCTTTTGATGGTTTCCTTCATCACCAAAAGTGAGTAGTCGTCAGCAGTTTCAATGTCTTTCAGGTTTCTATCTTCCTAGTAAGTCTTCATGGACCTAGTCATAATCATCCTCAATAAAAAGTAAATATATTACAGAATTGTATAATTGAAAACTATACAATTTTATTAACCAATGTCACCCCAATAAATTCCATAAGGAAAAAAAGAGCAAATAAACATCCACCATTAAGACCCTTCTTTCTAGGTCATAGGCTTTCTTTTTTTTCTTTTTTCTTTATTTTTATTCTTTTATTTTGAGAATACGTTTATTAAGAGTACGTAAAACAAGGAATGGCTTGGTTTAGAAGAAGCAACAGGAGAGAGCCTAGTGGAGCTGCTTTAGTTCACTGGAAAGTTAGAGAACAGGAGGCCTTGGAGACAGGTTCAGGGGGTTACCCTGGAACAAGCTGCTGCTGACCATTGCTCTCCTACTTGCAAGTCCCATGGGGATCCCTAGAGTTTAGGAGGTGCACTGAGAAAGAAGAAAGGGGTGTGCGTGCTCCTGAGAGGGTGAGCACCTAGGTTTTCTTAATCATATTAACTCCTCTGGATTCCTAAAGCAAATTTTTATTTATTTTTTTTAAATTTTATTGAATTTATTGGGGTGGCATTAGTTAATAAAATTATATAGGTTTCAAGTGTACAATTCTATAATACATCATCTGTATATTGTATTGTGCATTCACCATCCAAAGTTTAGTCTTCTTCCTTCATCATTTATCCTCCATTTACCCTCTTCTACATCCCCCCGCCCCCTTTCCCTCTGGTAATCACCACACTGTTGTCTGTGACTATGAGTTGTCTTTTTTTTTTTTTAATCCCTTTGCCTAATTCCCCAAAACCCCTCCCCTTTGAGAGCTGTCAGTCTGCTCTATGTATTTATGCTTCTGTTTCTATTTTGTTTGTTAAATTATTTTGTTCATTAGATTCCACATATAAGTGAGATCATATGGTATTTGTCTTTCTCTGACTGGCTTATTTTGCTTAGCATAATATTCTCCAGGTTCATCCATGCTGTTGCACACGTATACCACCATAAACACATGATTTTGAAGGTTTTTAAGCAAAGGGGGAAAATGATGAAAGTTGTTTAGAAATTGTGATCTGACATTTTTATTTGAGGAAGGATTAGAAAACAGCGTAAAGAAAGTCTACAAAAAATTCATTATAACTTTCAATAACCAAACTGTATAAAGCAGTAAATTACATGTCCTGCAGTGAAATTTTTGAAAGCTTTAAAAACTATTTCTATCTAGATTTTCCTCCAAGCTTCAAAAAACATTTATTAAGTACTTATTTGCTGCCAAACTAATAAAAATGGTCATGATTCTGCCTTCCTAGGAACATATGAGCTAAATAGATGGGTACATTAAACAAATCAATAAAGCAAAAAATTTGCATATTCATTTTAGACTCAATAAATAATGGCTATGAATTTTAAAAAGCCAGAATATCCATTGTCAGCAATGCTCAGATCCCAGAAGAAGGGAAGTGTTGTTTCAGATAAGGTGGCTGGCAAAGGCCTCCTTGATAATATGACATTCAAGCAGAAGCAGATGAAGAAGCTGGCCAAATGGATGTTTGGAGGAAGAAAATTCCAGGCATATGGAAAGGAGCAAGCCTGATATGTTCAAGAAAAGCAAGGAATAGAATGAGCTAAAGAAAAGAAATAGCAGAAAATGGAATCAAAGAAATTGGTGAAGGACAGATCGAGAGGATATTATGAACTTATTAAGAATTTGAATTTGTTTCTGACATGAGAAACCACTGGAGAATTCCTAGGAAAAAAGTGGCCTAATCTAATTTGAGTTTTTCAAAAAATTATTCTGACTGCTGCTTTGAGAAGGGACTATAGTGGGAAAGGAGTCAGGCAGGGAGAACATTTGGTAAGAGGATTCATAGAAGTAGAGAACACATTGGCTTTCTTCTCTTCTCCCAATAAGCAAGCCCCTAAATAACCATTCATAAAGACTATGCAAATCTTCCAGGAGTAAGGTTTGCTGAATCAAAAAACCCAGAGGACCATGGTGTGTTCACCAAGGCTGGAACTCAGAAAGAGAGTATACCTTAGAAGTGATCCCTGGCATTTGGAAGTAATTGACAACAGGGAGATGGATGAATATTATGAAGGTGTCTGGAGCTTCTTATGATGGCAGAGAACAGAGGAAGCAAAGAGGAAGAATCTAGCCTTCATCCATTGCTGAGGCAAGGATGTGAGTTCCTATAGGCCAGTGGTTCTCAACCTTCTGGCCCTTCAAAATACAGTTCCTCATGTTGTGACCCAACCATAAAATTATTTTCGTTGCTACTTCATAACTGTAATGTTGCTACTGTTATGAATCGTAATGTAAATATCTGATATGCATGCAGGATGGTCTTAGGCAACCCCTGTGAAAGGGTCGTTCGACCGCCCAAGGGGTCGCGACCCACAGGTTGAGAACCACTGCTATAGGCCAATGGGAAAACAAAGAAAGTAGCCAGGCTTCAGCTACCCCACATAACCTAATTTTCTGCCAGAATAGGGAACTAGGAGAAAGGAGAGGACAAGGATTGAGGTTGGATATACTAGTTACACAATATCTTCTTTATAGCCCGTTCTTTATGGGGGCTTTTACAGCCAAATTACATGTAATATTTTTCACCTTTTCCTATACTCTCCTTTCTCTCACCCTCTACCCTAGAGGAAACAGAAAAAGTAGGAAAAGAGTAAAAAATAAAGAGATCTAGTGAAAAAACAGGTTCTGCCCCATCTTTCTTTATCTCATGAACCCTTACCCCTGTTATACTGCTCCATAGGCGTGTTAGAAAAATTCATACCCAAGGGATTGCTTATCTTCAGGGCCACTGCTCCTCATTCCTCATTATAACCTAACTTGCATTATAAGGATTCAGGGTAGTTTGCATAATATTTACCGACAATATCATAGCCAGTTATGAAAATGAGGGGTTTTCCTAAACAGAACATAGAAGAAGAAGGCCATTCCTGTCTTCCATCTAATGTTGCTGTCTTTATTTGATCTTAACAGAAATTCATATGCAGCTGCTTGAATAAAGTATAACAATGATCCCTTTATACCTGTGGGAAGACTTAAAAAAAATGAGGCTTTTGAGTTTCAGCTACTTAGTACCCATGCACAAAGAATCATATAATTAAATGATATATAGAGAGTAAATAAATGATAGGGAACATTGATGATGATAGTATAGAGTCATATAGATTGCTTGAAAAAGATCCATTCATTCAACAAGTGCTTTTTGAGTATTTACTATGTGGTGGACACTGAGTATTGAATAGATTTCTTACAATCTAATAGGAGAGGCAGATATTTCAAAAGTAAACACACATATAATTCTAAACTCAAGTAAATGCTATCAAGCAAAATAATAAGTTGTAATAATAGAGAACTCTTTACATTTGGGAGGTAAGGGAAATTTCTCTGAGCAAGTGACATTTAAGTTGATAACTAAAGGATAAAAAAGGAACCAGAAGATGAAGAGTTGGAGCAAAGGCTCTGATGTGGAAAAAGCTTGGTGTTTGCCAGAAATGTAAAGAGAACTAGTATGACAGGAATTTAGAAAGAAAAGTGGACAGCAGTGTATGATAAAGTTAGATGGGTCGTTGCATGTTATAGACATACAGGTCCTTGTGAGACATGCCAAAAGCACTTGTTTGGATTTTATTCCAAGTATAATAAGAAAACTTTGATGGTTTTAAACTTTGAAGACCCACATTTATAAAGATGAGCAGAGCTGTGGATTATGTGGAAGAATAAACGGAGTAGGAGCCAAAGTGAGAAGATAATTGCAAAAGATCAAAGGTATTATCTTGTATTAGATGGTAACGGTGGAGGTAAGGAAAACTAAGCCCTTTTTCCTTCTAATTTTACTGGTACATGCTTGTGAGGGACAAGCTCATGACAGTTTCAACTACCATATCTATGCTAATGACTCATAAATCTCCCTGGATGAAATTTCTTTTCTAAAATCCAAATTCTCCCCACAACCACCTTATAGCCAATTGCTTAATAGGCACTTCCTTTTACATAGTATAAATTCAAATGTAATCCTTCATCTTCTCCTCAAAACTTGTTGCCTTATGACTTCTCATCATTCTCTTATCACTTGGAATCAAAACCTTGGCATCATCTTTGATGCCACCCTTTCTATCTAACCCCCACATCCAGGATAGCAAAGCATTAAGAGTATATGCTCTGGAGTCAGAAACTTAGGTCAATGAACTGGAATGGTGTACAGGCTATTTACATGGTATTATGGTTGCTATTTCTATACTCTAGATTGTACATTACATACCAGGAATTCTTTTAGTTTTAACACCTGCATGGCCTAAAATGTGGAAGAATTCTAGCCGATCACACTAGCAGTATCAGGTACAGTGTGTCCAAATCAAACATATCAGCACAGAGACAGAGAAAAATATCTGATCCTACTCAGTTATACTGAGAGGATAACATTGTTTCCTATTTCTCAGTGACTAGTATGCAAACTACCACAGTCCTTACACTGAGTCATAGAAATAGTGAGCCATGGTGGCCCTAGAGAAAGATGAACTTCTTTTTTTTTTTTTCAAGAAAATCTAAAAGCCAACCCAGCTAAAGATAAAGCCGAAGTTTCAGAAAGGAACAACAGAATCTCAGTAATTATAAGAAAATGAGAAAAGCCAAGATCACCAAGGAAGAACACTTTGAGTGAGAAGACCCATTCATTAAAAGCAGTACCTGCACACAGTGAGGAGGGGGAGGAAATAGAACCCATAAAGCAGTGGTTCTCAACCTTCTGGCCCTTTAAATACAGTTCCTCATGTTGTGACCCAACCATAAAATTATTTTCGTTGCTACTTCATAACTGTAATGTTGTTACTGTTATGAATCGTAATGTAAATATCTGATATGCAGGATGGTCTTAGGCGACCCCTGTGAAAGGGTCGTTCGACCGCCAAAGGGGTCACGACCCACAGGTTGAGAACCGCTGCCATAAAGGATTCAGAGAAGCGGAGTCCAGACAGAATACTAATAATCTTCCCTTTGTCCCTTCCAGATTCCCTCTCCACCTGCTCTGTGGTAGGGAAATGGGGTATATGTATGATACTGTATGACTAACATCTATGAGTTCTCTTGTCCTCTTCCTTTCAGTTGTGTACAGTCAATGGGATGTATACCACCAAAGATAAGAGAGAAAAGAGAGAGGTTGGGGTATTTATACCTCTGATTACCCTCTGCAAGGTTTCCATAGACTAGCCTGAGACTCTCAACTAAAGGCTACAGCTTCTGCTAGCAACAGGCCATTGTTATTCTACCCAGATTTCTTTATTTTCCCTACATGTTTATAAATTGTCACCTTATTTTTTAAAATTG